AGTAGTCTCCGTCAGACAGACCAGTAGTCTCCGTCAGACAGACAAGTAGTCTCCGTCAGACAGACAAGTAGTCTCCGTCAGACAGACCAGTAGTCTCCGTCAGACAGACAAGTAGTCTCCGTCAGACCAGTAGTCTCCGTCAGACAGACCAGTAGTCTCCGTCAGACAGACAAGTAGTCTCCGTCAGACCAGTAGTCTCCGTCAGACAGACAAGTAGTCTCCCGTCAGACCAGTAGTCTCTGTAAGGGTTTTTGGGGCACGAAGCGGAATTAAAGATCCAATTGGTAAAGTTTTAGAAGCAGGCTTTACTGAGAAGCTTGCGGGCGGTTCAATAACTCAGGTATTGAGCTAATGAAACCGCGAGGGGAATTTCTGGCTGTGTTTATATCCCCTGGTGGTAGGCACAGCTGCACACAGGGACTTCAAAGGGAAGCGCTCATTAATTTTATCCATAGGTCCGGGATGGGTGGAATAAACACATCTTCAAGGGATGCAGGGAAGTGGTCGTTAATCTTATCTCTAGGTACGGGGCAGGTGAAGTAAACATACCTTCAAAGAACATTCTTTTTTGGGGATATCTGGTTCTCAGAACTGGTGATTTTCAGCGAGGGGAGGGGAGGTCGATGTGAGGGAGGCCCATGAGAGGTGAGTTCTGGGAACCAAGAAAGTGCTGGATTCAAAATGGACTCCCTTGTGCCAAGACCAGGCAGTCTCCAGTCAGACAAGTAGTCTCCGTCAGACAAGTTGCCCCGGTCAGACAGTCTCCGTCAGACATACAAGTAGCCCCGTCAGACAAGTAGTCTCCGTCAGACGTGGAGACAGGTAGGCCGCGGCATAGACGATTGGCCCCCAGAGACTGCGTTCCCGCGGACGCTGCTGGGGAAGGGGAGGGTGGCCGAGGGTGTTGAGCCGGGAGGGAGGGGCAAACAGCTGAGAAACCGGATTTGTTTCGTCTTAATGGCTTTTGCTTATTGCGTTTTCTACGAGTTGAAGCGTTGCCAAACAGTCGGTCTGTGGGCGCCATTTTCCCAACGGCACGTGCGCCCCTGGCGTCTGTCTCTGGGGCGTGTTGGGTAATTCTCGGAGTATGTCATACTTTCCCCCGCTGGTGGCGCGCGCGCGCAGACTGGGATGGAGTGGAGCGCGCACTTGTGTACGCCTGGGAGACAGACGGACCGCTGCCGTGGCCCGGCTGCAAGGAGGCTCGGGAACCCGTCCACCGGGCCGTGCCTTCCGTTGGGCCCTGGTCGCAAAGGGCGTTCGATCTGCTCCTGGCGTCTAGTTAGTGCGCATGTCCCCGTGCTCGCGGCCTCGGGTACCCGCACTGGTGCCCGACAGCAGCCTCCCTCCTCCCGATCACCACCAATCTGGAGAAATCCTTTAAAGCTCTCCGAGGACCCACGGGCCTGCGCAGACCGCTGCCAACCACAGGCGGCCGTTTG